ATCAATTCTCTGCAGCTCTTGATGTGGTGGCTTGCACAAAGGCAAGTGCTCCACCCCCCCCTTCAGTTGGATTGGAAATGCTGCTTAACACACTGATTAAATAAAGGAAACCAACGTGAATGTTTTCCCAGAAAATTTCCACTGTAGATCGTGAAATTGTTGGAAGCAAGATGCGTGGAGGGACTTGGAGTGACCTCCCTTTGGACATACCGAAATGCTCATCTCTCCTCCAGATTAGCTCAGAGCTAGTTCATGGCAAGACTTTTAAGACCTTGGTTAGTTCACAACTTCATATTGTCAAAAAGTCAAGTTTCCCCATATGCTGTTGACTTTTATTTTAGTAGGACAAACTAAATGATCAACAGCATAATAATTTGGAATTTTTGGTGCCAAAGTTATAAAGAAAATATTTCAATTTTTTTAATTATGGAAACAGTGCAACAATAATACAATTTTTGGAAAGAAGAAAATTTGAGATATCTCATAGTTTTCAACAGACTACAAGAGCAGTAAGCATCTCTGTTGTTTCCATCCTTTTTAAATATCCATGTTTTCACAGATACAATGGAATATACCTATAATTTTTATATTGTTCTTCCCATACCTTCCTTTTGTAGTATGTTTGATTTAGATTTTGCTAGGAAGTCTTACTAGTTCTATATTAAATGGCTATGTAATATTCCCCTAGGGGAATATTTATCCATTCCCTTGTGGCATCTGATGTGAGGCTGTTACAAACAATTCTGAAATGAACATCTTTATGCATATAATTTTTATACTTTCTGAATTTGGGGGGGTGGGATTGGGTTTCAGAAATGAGATCACTGGGTTATAGGTTCGATCACATTGTACCTAGTTGTTTATTTTAAAAGTCTACAGAAATTTGTAATTGACGATGAGAACACTTTGTTTGCCCAAATTGCTTTTTTTCTGTGTAACCAGTGAACAAGAATTTCTGGATATTTTGTGTATGTAGCCCTTCTCAAATAGTGGGATAGATACAAAAATGGATAAGTCAGGGTTTCTTCCTTTTCTGGGCTATGATTTAGCCAGAGGAGCAGACTGAGACTGGCACACACAAAAGAAATGGTGAGGCCAAGGTCGAGATGTCAGTTGTCATTTCTGAGGGGAAGGAAGTTTAGAAGGGGTTGGCCTCTGTGATGGTTGAAATACTGGGAAATCTTTTGTGGAGGAAATAAGTTTGAATAAAATAAGATGGTGTCTTAAAATGAATATAAAGTTCAAAGAACATATAGAGTTAATTTCTTTACCTGACTTGATTTTCCTGGAGCCAAAATAGTGACTTTCGGTTTTCAAAATATTAATCACGACTAAATTGTGATGGCAACAAAGATTTACAATTGGCGTGCTCCTCTTTGAATTTTTGCTCGTTTTAATTCTAAAATTAACTTCTATACAGAGCCCTGTTGGAATAGAGATCTTTTCAGAAACATTGACTCTCTATCCCTTAATATGAAAAGTATGAATTTTTATTAGTTTTGACTGAATTACAGTTTATTTTTGATTGAGACTAAACATAAATTTCGTAATAGTGCGTGCTACGTCCTTTGCCAATGGGTGATGCATGTGTCGTTGCACAGACTTAATTTGAAGTGTGGCCCTGGTTTTCCCTGACAAAACAGGGTGTTTTTGAGGCAGAGTTGGAATGGCTTCTCACTCCTCTGGCAGTCCTACCTGTCTGTCAGCCAAAGTACACGGACCGTCGCCCCTCCTAAAAGGACAGGATTCTGGTGATACACCCAGAATTTCTTCCATGCGTTAAATCACGGCCTCTACTCTGAGGGACCTCAGAGATTTGTTTGGGGGCGGGGGGGATGGATCAGACAGGAGGACGGATAAGTCATGCTTTGACACAGTAAACTCTGTACACAGTGCGAATCTCAGCATGCTCTCAATGCACAACGGTGGAAAAATGGAGCTCTGTCTCGGGAGACTCAGGTTCAGCTTTCCAGAGAAAGAGCATTTGAGTTAGGCTTTGACAGATAGAATGTGCCAGGTGGAGACCAGCCTGGGCAGAAGGAAAGGAAGGCATTCTTGTCAGAGGAAACGGACACCTAACACTCAGCGTGGTGCCAGTGTTCAGGGCCCCTGGGGAAGGGGGCCTGAGAAGGACGGTTTGAGAGGAGGCTCCTTGGCACATCAGTAGTGTTCATGACTCTCTATTCTCTGTGTTCAAGGTTTCCAGTTCATGGTTGTTCAGCTCTTAAGACAAGCTGAGCAGGGGCGCCTGGGTGGCTCAGTTGGTTACGCGACTGCCTTCGGCTCAGGTCATGATCCTGGAGTCCCGGGATCGAGTCCCGCATCGGGCTCCCTGCTCGGTGGGGAGTCTGCTTCTCCCTCTGACCCTCCCCCCTCTCATGCTCTATCTCATTCTCTCTCTCAAATAAATAAATAAAATCTTAAAAAAAAAAAAGACAAGCTGAGCAATATGACAAATAGTTTTTATATAGGGATTAGCAAGGCTTGGCATATAGAAACCAAGTGCTCACCGGGGACTTTTAAGACCATCTTGCTTCATAGCCATCATGTTTCCATGAAGATGAGCTTTTGTCCGATCTTGCTGCCAGAAAATTCTCAATCTCAAGTGACCCAATATCTTTTGAAAAAGAGAAATAACAAGGGATAAAATTATTGCCAGAAACAAAACAAAACAAAACAAAAAACACCCAAAAGATCGAAATTGCTATTATCTTGGGTGTTTTCACCTAATCTCTCTTATCAAAGTCTTTTAAGGTTAAGATGTTCAAATATTTAACCTACAATTTGCTTTTCTGCCTCATTTGAGAAATGTGGTCCTCTATGTGTTAATATATTCATTGTAGTAATATTATGCAGGCTTCATTGGCTAATGCATTACTAGAAACCCAGTAAAGATCATCTCTGGTCATTCTTTCCTTAGATCTAATGGGCGTCTTTTTAGATTCCAGGCATCTCTGAACTTTGGTTATAGCTGTATTCCCCATTACATTTGAAAGCCTTTTCTGTCACCTGGTTTCCAGTGATCAGCCCCATGGGAACTTGAAAATATGTAGATCTTTGTTTTTTGATAAACACTTTGAAGCAGAAAAGACTGTTCTGCATTTTATTCTTTTGGTTGAGCCCGCGCTACTTGGGTGGGAAAATAGAAGCTGCTGGGTGAAAAGGCTGTACACACCCAAGTGAGAAAACATTACCAGTTTTATGCACATCTTTACATTAGTTTGATCTCATACATCACCTGGTTTGCCTGGGTTACTTAAGGACCGTGAAAGTCGGGGAGGCTCGTTCCAGTCGCTGGAGACAGGGAGGGAGCTTGGATGGGGCTTTAGGGGGCCACGTCCCACCAGGCCCGAGGAGGTGGGATCAGGGTGGTAGGTGCAGGGAGAAAAGCCAGGCAAGGACCCAAAAGGCACTTTGGGAAAATATCTGGCAGAATATTATTCATGGGATGGGCACGAGGGGCAAAGGATAAAATGGAATGAAAAACCATCCGTTCTAAATGCTTTGCCAGGCTCAAAGAGGTTGTTAGTATGAATACAGAGAGGCAGTTCTGTTTTTCTTTCCTCTTACGCTTTTTTCCTCCTTCTTGAGCCCGACTTCTTAAGACACTGAAAAAGAAATGATAGACAAAAATCCCAACAAGAATAATTTCAGTGACTAAATGATGAGTCACTGGGTGTGGCAGTCCTTTGCACAATATGAGCTCAGTAATGAAGTGGAGAGCAAATTGAGCAAATACCATTCCGTTACTATTTGCTTTCTGCTTATTTTTCACGAGGCTGTCAGGAAGGGTGAATGTATCCCTATATACATCCTTATACAGAATATAATATAATCTATCTTCCCCTCCAAAGGGCAAGGGATGAGAGAGAGAGAGAGGAGAGATTAATCCATTCATCTATCTTGACCTTCCAGTGAAACAACAGCAGAAATCTTACCTTTCAAATAACACTGGATTTTTAAAGTTTTTTAGGAAATTATAAAGCAATAATTACTCATTGAAAAAAAATTCCACCAATATAGAAATCTCTGATGTGAAAGCCAAAATAATTCAGTCCCTCAGCCCTACGTTTCCATACACACAGTCATACATAAACTTTTTTTTTTTTTTTTTACACCCATGGGAAACTGCTTTTGCTGTAAAGATTTGTAAAATGCCTACTTTTTGTGAAACGGGTGCTGAGCTCTGTGGAATTTCGTACATTTCCACAGCCAGTCTGAGCTCATTCTCAGCAAACTACTTAGCAAGCACGGACTCAGATTCAGATAGCTGGTGGTTTTAAATCCCAGCTGCCCCCCCGCCCCCAGCCTTGTGACCTCATGTGCTTTTTCTTGGTCTCCTCATCTGTAAAATCCCCCCCGGGGAGGAATAAGGCTATTTGTCTCCTAGTGTTGTTGCCAAGATCCAGTGAGATGCAAAGCCCGGTGCGGGGGTCTGGGACAAAGCTAGTGCACAACGCGTTAACTTTGGTACATGATGATCGGATTTGGTCTTTTAGAATAAAGTCTAAGTACCCCGTGGCTCCCTTTCTGCTCTGCAGTTGCCCAAAGTAGAAGCAGAGCTCATTTCAATATCTGACTCCTCAGCTTTCCCATCAGGAGGCTGCTTATTAATTATATCGATATCTTATAAAGGATATCTGGCTATTTTCTGTTTCTTCTGGAGACTTTGAAAACATTCTGATAAATATTATCTTTCGGGCTTCTAACTTGCTGTTCCCCAGACTTTGGGACAGGTCGCCAGAGAAAGTACAGATAAATGACAATGGTGGGACCTAAAAGCGGAGAATGGATTTGTTGTGTCCTCATAAGGCTTGTCCTCACGACAGTCAAGAGTGGGCACACGGGTGTGCACACACACACACACTCACGCACACACGTGTGCCTCTGGGAAACTGCCTTCACACAGTTCTTGGGCTGTCCCAACACTTGGCTTTTAAAGGCCATGGGGGCTGGAGATCCCTTAACGAGTGACCCCTTTTGCGTCTGTTTCTCCGCAGGAATACACTGTGAGTCGTACAAGGACCCCTGCGCTAACATCAGCTGTCTGAACGGAGGCACCTGTGACGGCGAGGGCCTAAATGGCACCTGTGTCTGCGCACCCGGGTTTACAGGCAAGTGAGCTGGGAGCTGAGTTTTCAGATCTACCCCCAAATCCCAAAGATGGCAGCTGTTAAAAACAAAACAGACACACAAACAAAAACAAAACAAAAACAAAAAACCTCAGAAATCTCTATGCATACATTATTGCAAAGTACGAAAATGGTTGCAAAATGCGACTGGGCGCTGCTTGGACAAAAATCTATAAAACAATTGGCTGTGTTGTCATTGCAGGAGGTTCTTCTGAAGCCAGCATTTGGTACAGAGACTTGCTGAGATTGTCATTGCTATACGTTTCCAGAACCGCAGCTTTGAAACACAAGCAATGAGCCATTACGCCAGCAGCTGAGAAATTTAAGTGTTCCCTGAAGGGGAAAGGAAGAATCAAATGCATCTTTTCTAGAAATTGCATTGGGTGACCACATTTATTTTTACGGAAAGATGCAACAGCGGCAGGATACTGAAAGATGAAGGCAGGTGGTGGTGGGCAGTGAGGGAGTGACTCCAGCATCAGCGGTGCTTGTTAGTGAAGGTACAGATGCTGGAGGTGTGGGGGATGGGGAGAGAAAACTGCCAAGAGCGCAGTAGATTGGGAGGGCAGGGGGAAGGGGGCAGGGCTGCTTGCAAGAGAAGCCCTGGTGGCCGCTGAGCTCTGAGTGGGAAGAGTCATTTCTAGACTAGGGATCCTTCTAGATCACCCCCTACCCTGTGGGCTTCAGGGAGGTTTTGAATCCCTGAAATTGGATGTGAAACATTGTATGGATGTGTATCTGTTGAGAGGAGGTTCCCATTTTTGTTGTATTCTCAGAAGGAACCATGAACCACTGGGGTAGAAAAGGTCGATCCTTTGCTTTTCCATGAGAACCCAAGAGTCCTGAAATGTAGAGCGTAGGACAAGTCGAGGTTTCCAGAGCTTGCTCAACCAACAGAAGCATCTGGGTCACTCTGGTTTGCGAGTTGGGAAAGGCTGACATATAGAGTGTTCACAGAAGAAGGTGGGGACTTAGCTGCAGGAGAGCACCTTGCCCGCTCCCGGATCCCTGCTCCCCTCTCCCCTGCTGAGCTGCTGCGCTCCCCCCCCAACCAAACCCTGGAGGATTTCACTGGGGAAGATGCCAACAGTCAAGATGTGGGAGAAGCAACTTCTGATCTTCCTTCTATTTATCTGTGTCACATCCTGTGTTTTTCTTTTTGGGTCTTCCTGGGACTGAGAAGTGGGCTCATTCCAGAAAATAATTCGCAGATGGTTTTGTTTTGCTGACTGGTTTATAAACACACACAGACGCAGAGCTCATTTCAATATCTGACTCCTCAGATACTCATCAATGGATGCAGAAATAATATTGGGGAAGCATTCTGGGTGTTCCCCCCCCCCAGACATTTTTATCTCACAAATCGTAAAAAGCATGGAGGGAAGATTAGAAAATATAAGACCATAGGAAAAAACCCCACCGCTTAGCACTGCACCGCTCAGAGGCAGCCCTCGTTAATATCTTGATACATATATCCAGAGATTTTCCTGAAGGTCTGTGGGTATAACATACAGCATATAGTGTGTACGTGTGTATATTTGAATTCAAAAAGGAATTGTATTGCTCCTACTATATTGTAACCTACTTCTCACTTAAAAATACATGTATATCATAAATGTTTTATCATTTTTACTGGCTGCCCTATAGCCCATTATATAAAATGTTTTTTGTCCTAACACATGGCCAATTCAGCTTTTGGGGGAGTTGAGAACTCTTCCCTATTGTGAACAACATTGCTATGAGTATTCTTGTATGTACATCTTTGTGGACTTGTCTGATTATTTCTTTGAGCTAATTTCCCGGAGTCCCAGGGTCCAGGAAAATAGGTACATATTTCCATATTGCTCTTGAGAAAAAACACTGTACCAAATTCACTCCTACTGAGAGTGTACAGGGACGCCTGTTTTCTTGACTTCATAGAGATGCTGAGAATTGTCATTTTGGTGGCCAAAAATACCCTTTAAGTGTTGTCTTAGTTTGTAGGTCTTTGATTCATAGTGAGGTTGAATACTTTCAAAATAAGTGTGTGGTCATTTGTCTCTCTTCTTTTATAAACTCCCTATTCATACACCCTCTTTGCTTTTCTACCATTTATGTTAATCAGCCTTCCTACCTTCCTTCCTTTCTTTTACTTTAAATTTTTATTTTAATCCCAGTTAACGAACACTTATGTTAATCTTTATTCTTGATTTGAAATAGCCCTTTTTAGTAAGGATATGACATTTTATATTCCATAGGTTGAAAATACTTTTCTACTGTCATTTGCCTTTTAAATGTATAAGAGTGTTTTGTTTTCCTATATTTTATTTTTGTACGATTAAATCTTGATATTTTCTTTTGCTTTCTTTTCTTGTAGTTTCATGCCAGAAAAACCCTACACATCAAGATTTTATAAACATTCTCCTCTATTATCCTAATAACATAGGAGTTAATTTTGTGCATGCAACTCTTTAATCCATTTGAAATTTATCTTGGTATCTTATGGGAGGTAAAATGGAATCTTTTCTCCAGAATATTTACCAAATCTCCAACTTCCTAATCAGCATTCGCTCTTGGGTATCTCTCAAAGATGCTCGGAGGTATAGATTTTCTTCTCCCTTCCTTCTTTTTTTTTTTTTAAGATTTATTTATTTATTTTAGAGAGAGAGAGGGTGGGGAGGGGCATGGAGAGAGGGAGAGAATCTCAAGCAGACTGCCTGATGAGCGCAGAGCCCTACTTGGGTCTTGGTCCCAGGACCCTGAGACCATGGCCTGAGCTGAAACCAAGAGTGGGATGCTCAACTGACGAAGCCACCCAGGTGTCCCCTCCCTTCCTTCTTGAAATGTTTGCTAGCTCAATAAATGGTATTTCTAGCACCTCAAGTTGTTCTGGCCAGAAACCAGGGACTCATTTTGTCCTCTCGTCTTTTTCTCCCTTACATGCATCCAACCACCGAAGAATCCTAGAACTTCGTAGTTGCTATCATTTCCTGGAGCCAATACTGGGCTGCATTCATGTCCTGCCCACACGAGTGCAGCCCCTCTAACTGGTCTCCCCACACCCCTTCGCCTTCACCCCGAACGCATTCCCCACACTGCGGAGACCTTATGAAATGAATCTCTAATCCCGTTGCTTGCTGCTTAAACATTGCTTATTGGTATTTCATTGTTTTTAAGAAAAAGATCAAAGCCCTCAGCATGATTGTTGAGACCCCAGCCGTCTGGCCCCATCCAGCATTTCCAGCCTTGCCCTGGCTGGTTCCTGAACACCCCGAGTCAGGATCTTCTCAGTAATGCTCTTCCCTCCATCTCCTGCCTCCTGGTCTCCTCTGCTCCCCCACCCCATCCCTAGGCATCTCTTCCGCGGTACTCACCCTGATCGGAGGGAGAGGTCGGACTCCTCCGTGAAGCAGATTCTAACATCACTCTAAACTGGTCTTTGAAAACAACAAATGTCTCTTTCTCTTCAGCCCTGGTAACTGTTCTGGCTGCAGAGGACCACAGAACAGTTCCCAAAGTTGTTTGGAGATCTGTGCTGCTAATATGTTTTACAGAACACTGATCCCATGAGATGCTTCTTGGAAAAAGCATCTTTGGCCAAATAAATTTGGGGCATGGTACCATGTGGAGATTCATAAAGGGTGTCTGGGAACTGCAGGCTCTGAGAGGTCATACAGCAGAGAATTTTATTTGCCTTTGTTTATTTTCCAAATATTTTTGATCATAGAACCTTTCTTCCCCTCTTAAGAAGAACCTAGAGTATTCTGAGAGTTAGCAGGCATGGAAGAGTCTGGTAAAATATTCACTTCTACCACGTAAGGAATGATGCTGCCTGTCCTCCTTGAATTGCTACCTTGGTACCAAATACTCTTTCATTTTACCTAAGAGTTAGCAAAACTTACTCTTGGCCAACTATTAAGCACTCAAAAGCTCCCTAATTGACTAAAGTGGAGTGAATTAGGCCAATCATTGTCAGATAATTAGACACTCGGTCCAATGGCACATTTACCTCATGAGATTGGCTTTTTCAGCTTAGGTTGATTTTGCTCTTCTTCTAGGTTGTTTAGGTGAGACCTTAGATTATTGATTTGAGGCTCTTCCCTATTTCTCATGTATAAAATTTGGTGCCGCAAATTCACCCTTCAACAATTCTTTGGCTGTGGGGGCACCTGGGTGGCTCTTGGTTTCAGCTCAGGTCATGATCTCAGGGTCCTGGGATCGTGCACCATGTGGGGCTCTGCACTCATCATGGAGCCTGCTTGGGATTCTCTCTTCTCTCTCTCTCTCTCTTCTCTCTCTCTCCCTAAAGTAAATAAATAAAATCTTAAAGAAAACAATTCTTTGGCTGTGTCCCACAAATTTTATGTCATATTTTCATTTTCATTCAATTTTGTTTAGGTTCCTTTAGACTTTCTCTTTGATCCATGGAGTATTTGTAAATGTGTTATGCATTTGGGGCTTTTTTTCTTTTTTTTTTCCGTGCACTTTTGGGCACTCCTGGGCTGCTGGTTTCTCCAGCATTTTTTTTTTTTTTTTTTAAGCCAGAAGAAAACTCAGGAGCTCACCGCCACATTGTTGCATGGGCTTTCCCTGCCAGTCTGTCTCCTCCTGACCTCTCAGAGTCTTCTCATGTTTGTTTTCTGTATAATGTCGAGAGTTTCTGCTTATAGGAGGAGTAGGAAAAAAATTTCCGTCACACCGTTTTGGAAGCAGAAATTTCATTCTGGCTGCTTTTAGGACTTTTCTTTGATTACTGGCTCTTAACAAATTGATCACGATGTTCCTTGGTGTGATTTTGTTGGTGTTTATCCTGCTTGGGATTTGGTGTAATTCTTGGATCTGTGGTTTTATAGTTTCATCAAATTTGGAAAATTTTTAGCCATTATTCCACCAAATATTATTTTATGCCTCACTCCCCTTTCCTGGGACTTTAATTACATCTGTTAGACTACTTAGAATTGTACAACAGGTCACTGAGTCTCTATTGAGTTTAAAATAATTTTTTTTCCTGAGCCTCCGTGTGTTCAGCTTCTATTGCTGTTGTCAAGTTTACTGATTTATTCTGCAGAATCTAGTCTGCTGTGAAAATCATCCAGTATTGTTTTTAATTTCAGATATTGTATTTTTCATATCTAGAAGTTCCATTTGGTTCTTTTCTATATCTTTCATTTCTATCCTCATTTTGTTCGTGTTTTCCTTCACATTTTGAGCAAATTCCTTGTTTACTCACCATCATCTGTGATTTCTGCATCTGTGTCTTTGGACTGATATTTCTTTTGGTTATGGGCCACATATTCCTATTTCTTTGCACAGCTAATGGTCCTTGTGTGGATGGACAGTCATTGTGAGTTAAGTTATTGAGTGATTGGGTTTTTTGTGTTTCTTTTTTTAAGTGCTGCCCCTCCTTCCCCCCCACCCCTCGGCAGGTAGGTAAGTTACTTGCTGGCCTGACTGATCCTTCCAAGGTTTGTTTTTATATTTTGGGGAGTGGGTCTGTGGTTGCCTTTTCTCTAGGGATAGAGATGCCCTAGTACTGAGGTGCCACCTTTTCCCACTGAAGCACTGGGTGACCAATGAAATATCTGCATTCTGACTTGTGAGACTTTGAACACAGTCCTCTAGGAGCTCGGGGAACTGCTCATCCTTCATGGTGTTTGCCAAGCCCATGGAGTTCCAACGTACTCACACATAGGATTTAGCAACAAACTCAAGGGGACGCAGCACATTTCTGATTCTCTTTTTCTGACTGGCTCTATCTTCTTTGGGAGCCTGTCCCACACGTTGCAGCTACCTCGTCCCCCACAAAGTCCGGTTGTCCTTCGTTCAGGGAGACACTGTGTTCTCATGTGGCTGCAGGCAGGAAGCCAGGACGATCACGGCACTCAGCTGTTCTGCTTTCCTTCTCTTGGGTGAGCTGCCTGTTGTCTACTGTCTCAAAAGTGTCTTTCCTTAAATATGTATTTCATCCGCTTTACCATGGAAGGCCAAGAGAGCTTTCTGTCACTCCATCACAGCAGAAGAAGTTCCAGATCATTTTTAACGTTCATTTCATCTGGAATAAAATACCTGAGAAGCATGAAGGAGGTATAGTTAAAGTACCCAGGCCAGCGCCTGGCACACAGTAGCTCTATATTTAATACTCAGTATTCTAAATATAACGATTTTCATTGATATCATGCAGTGTGGGCTGTATTAATTGAAGGGTTTACTCACAACAGTGACTTTTTAATTTTTTTCCATTTTAATGTATTTGAGTAAAGCATACAGAATTAAAGGGCACACTTGTAAATTTGCATAAATACTATCAAATTTGATACCTACTCTACGTATTACCGCTCAGAAAGTAGTAGATTGAAAAGCAATTGTAAAAGATTTAAAGCTCAGACTCTGATTTCCAGCCTTAGTCAAGTAGAAATTTCATTATGTATTCTCTTTACAAATGTTATTCAAGCACAACAGTGATTTAAAAGGAATTGATTTTTCCCCAACTCAAATTAAAAAAAGAAAAGTAAATGAGTCAACAAAAAAGTCATCTGGCTCAAGCCAGCAAAAGCATAAAGATTTATTAAGTCAGCTCTGAGTAAGGCACGGTGATATAATCTACTAAGAACTCTCCTAAAATAAGCCAGAATGCATATTGCTTGAGTGGAATGGTGGGGTGCTGAGGCACTTACAAAAACGTAATACTCTTACTATGGGAAACTCGAAATGAATTTACATGCAAATGAATATACATACAACAAAGTTGCTCTCTATAATTCATAATAAATCTTCAAATACTTTGCGTAAGACTGATGTCAGAAAGCATGATCATTGTAAGGCAGAGAAGAGTGGTTGTGTTTGGGAGTCTTCTGGTTGAAAATTTTCCTCCGGGGGCTCCATCATCAGAATCACCCCATGTCCATATTCCTACCGCCAGCTTAGGGCACGGTGAAGGCCTGGAACTGAGAGCCAGGTGGCGGATAAGCGATTCAACCAGAGGTGCAGGAGCCTCAGTCTGTAAGATAGGCCATTAGAGTAATGCAAGGGTCGCTGTGCCCCATGCGTCACCCCTGGGGCCAGCCAGAGCACCTGTGCTATGGAATTAGCTGCTGGCTGTTTGGGACCCAGAGTTTATATCGTTAGCTAGTGTCATTTAATCCGTCCCCAGTATGGCCCTAAGAACACAGTGGTGAAGATATCCAGACGTGGATGGGCTTGGGACTCTCTCTGGTCCCCAGGCCTTTAGATCCTGAGTCTTGATAGTTTATCCATACCTACAAGTTCATTCTATTTCCCCCTGTCATTCTCTGTTCCTATCAAATCCTTTCAGTCTGGGGGGGCCCGGGAGGAGACAAACCTACGGACCGCAGACTTTTCCCAACTACATTAGTGCCCCTTGGAGATCCAAGAACCAATACATGCATTAGGGCTAGTCTGGACCCTGGATTGGGCATTTACCTCGCTGGTCCAAAAAGCTCTGGACCAGAGCAGGAACGGATGGGCTGGACTAGCTCTAGGACTGCCCAGAATTTAGGGGATTAGAGGGGTTTGACGCTGACATTGGACTTGCAGAGCAAAGTGGAGCTTCTGAGTTTTGCCAGGCGGTGGAAGCACAGAGAAGTCAGGCTGTTTCTCCAACTTTGGCTGCAAAGGTAACAGGGCATCTTATTGTAGAACTTGCAGTTTTCACATGGCCAGCTGAGGACAGCCACTGTCCAATAAATACCTCAATTAAGTTTGTCTTCCCAAATGGTTGGAAAGTAGTACAGATGTATATGTATTTGTCAAGGCCTTTGATTTAGTCCTTTTAATGTTTCTCAGCACGTTCTTGTTTATATGTCTCCTCAACTAGTCTACCGTGTAATGCCGGCTGTAATAGTTTACTCTGTGCCCTTTTACACTCAGAGCGATTGCCCCATTAATAGCAAGACAACCTTTGAATTAGGTTAGTGAGAGGAAATCAACTTCATGTCTTTCCCATTGATGTAAATGACTATTTACATTTACTATTTAATTACTGCGGGAAACACATTCACTTAGACACTACTGAATTACAATCAACCTAGTAGGGCCTCCAAGGAGTGAATGTTTTATTCGACAGATTTCACTTAGTTAAAAATAAAGTAGATGCCAGGTAAGAAACAAGTGTGAAATGAAACAGGCACGAAATATTTCAGCATGAGATTCCTGCTCTAAAATGGGCTGGGAGTGACATATGGTGGTTTCATAAAGGCGAGGTAAACCACTAGCAGATTAGAAAGTCCTTTAATACTAATTAAGTAAGCCTGGAAGTAACTATCCGCGTGTACACTGAAACATCGCCTTTAGAAAACGGACAAAATATTTGATTTTGCGCCTTTGCTTTGGTTGATGACTGTAGCAGTGCTAGGGGTTTTTTGGTTTGTTGTGTTTTTTGAGTATCACTTTTTACATATATCTAAGCAGATACAGATATATTTTGAAAATTTCTTTTTCTCATTCTCAAACTCTTAAGAGAAATTGCCTCAATTTGAAGTATCCTGTTCCATTCATTTGATGAGATGCCTTTCGGTTTGAGACGCATACCCGTCTTGTATTGACTCATAGTATGGCTTAAAATCAGTTGAAGGTGGCTTTGTTTGTGTAACTTGTGATAACAAGCTATTTCCTGTAAGTTGGTGTTTGGACCACCATGACATTGGCCCATCCATGGTCTGGTTTGTTAGTTTAAGCCAGGGTCTCTCTGATGGGGGCAGGGATGCCCCAAAATGTTGGGTCTAGGCAGGGTCAAGAGCTCTCTTTTTCATCATGGGGGAAGGACAGGCTGGAGTGAATGTGAGCTTCCCTGGGGTCATAGTTTCCCAGGGGAGACTGAGTCAGAGCTAGGCTAACCCTAGACCTCAGAACTGTCTTTTCTTGTGGGAGGGGGAGTTGCTGATGCTCTTCCTGTGCATTTCCATCTTTCCCAGAAACAGATCCAGGGATTTGGAACGTGAAGTAAATGTTCATAATTGACTCTGGCTAGGCACACAGCTGTGCCCTAGAACTATCCAGAAAATAGTCAAATATCCAACACTTGGCCACAAAAAAAAATCATAAACTGTGAGTTTTGGCTTTCTGGAGTTTCAGAAAAATAAGAAGATTCAAAAAAAAAAATTCAAAATAAAATAGACTTTTTAAATAAAATCAGGAACCCCAGTTCGCTTTTCCCATCAACCTCAAAAGGTTTATTCAGACATGAGAATCAGCCTCAGTTAACTATTTGACTCGACTAAAGGAGATTCTTTTGACCAGTGCCATTTTTTTTTTTTCTTTTCTAGTTTTACTTCAGCAAAAGATCCCTTGTCTGGCACTTTGGGGAGAGTTCCCCACTTCATGTAAACAGCCCAGTTGGGCTCCGTTGCTGGAGACCGTGACCCCGGCCTCGGATCTCCACTTGGCCGGAGCAGTGATGGGTGACAGCGCCGCTGGTAAAGCCAGCTGTCGTCACTGCATTTCTTTATCTCTGTAGGTGACGAGTGTGACATCGACATCAACGAATGTGACAGTAACCCGTGCCATCACGCCGGCACTTGCCTGGACCAGCCCAATGGTTACACCTGCCACTGCCCTCATGGCTGGGTGGGTGCAAACTGCGAGATCCGTAAGTATTATGCTGTTGTTTAACCTCATATTTTCACTCAATGAGAAGAGGACACTGAGCGTGCCCAGGGGGCCCCTGTCAGTGACAGGTGGGCAGTGGGGCCAGAGGGCTAACCTGAGTCACCCGTGCCTCCCGAGTCCCAGAGGAGTACCTTCGCTCACTGCTCTGTGCCCCTCCTCCTCCTTCCTGAGTCTGAAGCCGGCCTTTCTACTGGGATGAGCATGTGCAGATGTCATCCAGAGTTCACTGCTCCTAAGAGAGCCAAAACTGTGCCGAACAGAGAAGCACTAGAATCGTATCACAAAATAGAGTCTTTGTGTTAAAAACATGAAAAAGCACGCAGAATATAAACCCGCTTTGCATTTATGTCTTCAAGCGTCTTCAAACGTATTAGGTTCCATCTGTGGCCTTGAGAACAGTCCAGCAAGCATGAGGGTAAAAGAAGATTGGAAAAACATTACGAGCTGCGGAGAGCAAAGTGTTCTCTCTTAGAGATGAGCCCACAGAAGTTTGAAAATGTCATAATCAAGATTTCATGTATTAAAAGGGTGGGTCTGCTAGGATGGAGGTGAAAGTGAGAACCGACAACGGGGTTCGGTGTTCCAGTTGTTTGGGAAACTGGGAAAAATTCAACCGTGAAAGGGGTTTTCTTCTCACTCACATTCGTCAGGGCAGGGGATCTTCCATAAGGGCCCTCCCCTACTTTTCGTCAGGTAGAGACGGCTCATCTGCTGTGCGAGTTCGGAAGGAGGCAAATACATACGCATAGCCCTGTCTGTCTGTCTCCTTCTGGAGGAGACAGCTGCCCCTACCCCTCTGTTCTTTGTTTCAAGAACGACCTCCCACGGATGGTCCGGCAGTGCCTACGGCGCCTTGGGCCTGTGTCCTTCCCAGTGTGGGCCTGAGGTAGGGGCCTCCTTCTCCAACATCTGTTTGACTAGTAATGCTGTCTGGGCTCCTCCCTGCTTACCCTTTGTCTTTTTGCTCTTGTCTCGGAGCTTGAGAGGGGAATAAGGTCGTTATTTTCCGGGCTCCCCATCATCGACTTTCCTAAACACCCGTGGACAGAGTGGTCGTAGCACCCACTGGCCTTGCTGAAGATGGGCAAGAAGTGTTGTCTTGTTGAAGAAAGATACTGAAAGGGATTCCATGGTCAAAGGGCAACGGCTATGAGCTGGTGTAGGATGTTAAGTCCGTTCGGGGTCTGTTGGCAGAAAGCTTCCCAGACTTGGCTCAGCAGGACCTTGGTTCTTCCCCTGGCGGGACACTCATTGTGTGGCTGCATTGAATTGTGCCGAGCCTCCGTTTACTTACCCATAAAATGGGACCAGTTTTCATTCTAAAATTTGGCAATGCTGTTGGAAATGACAAAGTTTGTGCCTCGAGGCAGAGTAATATCTATTTATAACTTTTAGATCTTAATTATGAAGGTAAATGGATAGGAGGGTATGGTTAAGAAGTCAGGACACACAAGAGGCCCTTAGGAGGTTTTTAAGTGAAGTGCCATAATTATAAAAAATTGAAATTTTACTTCCTTCCAGTGATGATGATATAGGCAAAAGATATACAAAGATGGAATAATAGAAAGGGTAAAAGTTGGCTTCAAATTCTGGCTCCATCATGTGACCTGGACAAACAAATATACCTCTCGGGGCCTTGTCATCCTCACTTATAAGATGGTGATGGGAAGGTGCCGTGAGGCAAACATGTGCACACTTCTGCTATGCAGTAGGCACTAAATAAATGCTAATTTACTGTGGCTCATATACCATGAGCTACTCCTTGGGAGGACCAACCTTCAGCAGCTGTCTTTTTAGATGATGCATGCCCAGGGCATGGGCCACACTGAGTGGCCAGGTGTGTGGGGGGCCCATCACAAAATCTTTTGGTCTACACTCAGGCTGTTTGCCTGCAATAGCACTTTCCATTTGATGATCTCATTTGCACCTCTCCATTAGGCCAAAGGCACTAAAATCAATGTCATCACAGATTAAGCTCTGCTAGGTTCCAGTGTTGGATGCTTCCACCCTTGACCTGAGTGTAAAAATGGAGAATGTGCAGGTGAGCTCTGCTCTGACACGTAGCTGGAACTGGTGGCCAGCATCTAGAGAACTGGATCTGAATCAAATGGGATGGATCTAAGGACCAAGAGAGGAGAGTGCCTGGGTGGTACAAGGTCAGGTGGGTCGATCCCAGCAGGAAGGCTCAGATGTACACAGAGAACTGTAGCCCACATAGCTACATAGCACAGAGGCCTCCAGGGTGGTCAAAAGTGGTAAAGGAGCCTCCCACCAGCCTGACCTCTGCCTCCAGAGGCCACATTGCCTGCCTCCCTCTCTTGCTTAGTCTGCTTCAGCCAAAACATTGTCCTATTTTCTCTTCCGTGGACAGATCAAGTTTATTCCTGCCTTCAGGGCCTTTGCCTGTGCACTGCACTATGTGTGGAGTTTTTAGATTTTAGCACAGCTGTCTCCTTCTCTGCACATTGACTAACCCAATAGTGAATGTTTCTTAGAAATTTGCCCTTTAAGAGTTATTTATCTGTTCCCCATCAGTAATAAGGAGCAAAAATCTAGCAGACCATAAAGATTTACCAAAGCCACCCAGAACATTGATCCAGAACTATCTAAAAGGATCATTTAAATAGCTTTAGTGTTTTATAATTACTCTGAAACAAATGCAAACCCCAAGTCTTGGAAAGTAACAAAACAACCTGGTGAAATTTTAATTCTCTCTCATCCATTCTTACCAACTTGGGACTGACAACAATTTTGGTCGGGGGTTTTAATAAAAATTTTGCCTTCCTAGAGTCAAGGTCTAACATTTACAATTCCTGTATATGTTTATGTAGTGTTGTTTTGTACCATCTGTGTAGGAGCTGTGAGGTTTAGAGGTTTAGACTATAACTCTACAGGTAGAGTTATAGTCAATCTTGCTGACCAAGAACACTTGGTCAGTTAAGGACACTGAACAGTTGAGTCTATGGTTAAACTATTAAATTCATGATATTTTGCAGTTGACAAATAGGTGAATAGGTGATTTATAATTCAACCAATAATCAACGGCCTCCTACTATCAAACATTGAACACTAGGCCCAGGATATAAAGATTAATGAAGCAGCCCCTGCTTTTAGGAGCTCATAATCCATGGGTAGGTCATGATATGTGGTGGGGTTGCTGTAGGTTTTCTGCAGGCTGCTCTAGGAACCCAGGGAAGGGGCCCAGAAAGAGTCTACATGGATGTCTTGGGACCCTCCTCCCTAAAATGCACGGAATTTCATAATGGCTGAAGAAACCCATGACATGATTATGTTATATGAACAGTCCTTATCGTACAAATTGGTTAGGTTCTTCAGTTCTCATTTTTGTATAAACTAGGATACTTTAAAAATAAAATTAATTAATCTTCCTCCTCCTCCAGACCTCCACTTCACTCCCCAAAGGTAACAATCATTAGCCATTTATCGTGTATATTTCCAGATGTATCCAGTCAATTTTGTAAGTCCTCATTTTCTCTCACACAAATGGGACCATTCCATACGTCCTGTCCAGCATCTTGCTTTTCTGCTGAATAATATATAGAATGTGTATCCATGTTGGCTTATGCAGATCTCCCTCACTGCTGTAACACCACATGGCTCCCAGTCTAGCCCCTCCAACCATTTCTTTATATGTGGCCAGAAGCATTTCTTATTTTCTTCTGGTTTTCTAAAAATATATGGTCTGTTTCTTTTTTAAATTTTTTTCCGGTTCTTTTTATTGTGGCAAAATACACATAACATGAAATTAACTATCTTAATCATTTTAAGCGTACAGTTCCGTGGTACTAAGTACATTCGTCTTGTGAGCAACCCTCACCGCCGTCCATCTCTGTAACTCTTTGCATCTTGAAAAACTGAAACTCTGTCCCCATTAAATGATGACTCTCCGTGACCCCTTCCCTCAGCCCCTGGCAATCACCATTCTAGTTTCTTTGTTTCTTTCTTCCTGTTTTTAAATCTCCCCTTGTGCCTCAGGCCCCAGCCTCTGGCACTCTGTTACTATGAGTTTGGCTTTCTCTTTTTCTTTCGACTCCCCATATAAGTGAGCTCATGCAGTATTTCTCCTTCTGTGTACCTGACCTGTTTCACTTCGTATCATGTCCTCGGGTTCCTCCACGGGGTTGCAACTGGTAGAGGCGTCTTTTCCAAGTGCAAATCTGAATACTCAGACCTCCTTCCCACCACTGTTTCCATCCCTGCCAGTGCCAAGCTTGTATTGTGGCCTTCAGGCCACACTTGGGCCTGTAGGACCTGTGAGAGAGAGCCCCTCCCCCCTCCACCAGCCTCTGGCTTGCTCCCGCTAGAGGCCACTCTGTTCCCCTTGCAGTCCCTTGTCCTGTTCCCCACCTCCTCCCAGGTCTTGGCCTGGGACTATGTTCCCTCGGCTCTCCCCTGTCCCTGGTTAATATGACCTACGTACCTGTAGAGCCCAGCTTCCTGCAGACTCTCACCACTGGAGCTCTCCTGATTCCGCAGTGAAATGGAGCTTCCCTCTGTCCTTTCCGGTAGCACCGCAGAGGTGGTCCTTCATTGGCTCGGCACACTTGGATGTCTGCCGCTGCTTTGTGACCATTTTTTTGCGTCCCCGCACCCCTCAAAAGACTGGGGGCTCCAGAAGCCAACTGTCTACTTTCCCTCACTCTATATCCCGGCACCCAGTACCATGCCTGGTACATAGTAGGTGCCAACTTAATGGTTGTTCAGGGAATGGATCCTACAAAGGAGGTGAGCTGTTCTTTCTATTCCTTTCCTATGCCTTCCTCTTCTGAAGACTAATGAGAGCTGTTAATATTTTCTAATCTCATTGACTGCCTTGCTTGTCCAGATAACTTTGAGCTATAGAAAGCAGAAGGTAATTTGAAATTCTTCCTCTCAAGTAGTCTAGTAGCAGATGGTCTCAAAAATTATCTAGCTGTCTGATGTCTACACATCACACACTCACTCTCTTTTTAAATCACGTAGGTGAACACATTAGCTAGTCTGGCTACATTCATGTAGGTAAATTAAAAACCAGATATAGGCAGTGGGTTTTAGAATGAAATTTATAAGTCTAATGACAGCTCTTTTGGTGGGGTGGAGGTTGTAGGTGGGTCTGGTTTTATTCTCAGCCTGGCCACGGATGGCCTCTTATCACCTTGAGCAGCTGCTCCAAGTCCAGCTTCTCTACCTAGCTCAGGGTGCTTTGTTTAGGGCCAATTGAAATGTAAATGTGAAAACACTTTGGAAAATACAAAACCTGAGACAAATTTAGTTGAAACCTAGATAGAACTGGTCTAGCAGACCCATAAGTGCGACATTTTTCCCAGAAGAGTTTGTGTACGTGTGTTCTGGGTCATGCACCGGCTGGAGCCGACGGCATCATTCTACCCAGCACACTCTGGTGCACAGTTCCTCCCTGAGCTGTGCTGCAGCTGGCGTAGTAAGTGATTCATGCAACCAAACTCCTGGGATGCAGCAAAGCGATATCTCATGAGGGTCTTATGACTTATGCCAGGACCGGGGGCGGCAGGTGCAGATACACTTGCCGCTTCCAGACCAAGGGTTGGATCTTTTCAGATCCAGCCCAATTCCAACCCGATTAGTGTGTCAAGCAGCCACACTCACTTCTATCAGAAAAGTTTTAGCTGACAGTAAGGTAGAAAAAAAAAGAGCAGGGGTAGGGGAGGTAGGGGAGGAGGGGACAGAGTTTTTCAGGGGAATTTCGAGAAAGTTTTCCCAAAAGTTCCAGCAGCCTGGAAGGCAGAGTTTGGGGAAGTAGAACAGATGATCAGAAATGTAAGCAGTGTGGGCAGCTCAGGCCTGGGACACTCAGCGGCACTGTCTTTCCATGGTAGTGGTCATTAATACGATGTATAGCTATTTACGTGAAGTTAGGCATCAACGATGAGGGCTCATCAAGAACTCGTGTGATCCTGGCACGGTGATCGGAGCAGAGCCCTCTACCGAGTTGGAGTAGAAACAGTGCTGGCTTTCCTTGTGTTGACGCTAGATGGGTGTTAGAGCATACTCTGAGCATTGGACTCCAGCCTACAACTGAATTTTTCAGAGAATGGTGAAATACTTGGAAATCAAGTGAGTCATGCTCCTCTTTCAGCCAGAAAAATGAGCGTCTCTCTCAGTGCGCACCAGGTATTGCCCAATGAAATGGCTGTGATCTGCAACTGAGGCTGAGTTCTAGCTTCACAAAAACACCTTCTCCCGTCCGTGGCGACCTTGCTGTGATTCATGCTGGTGCATCTGCCTGTCTGTGAGCTGGTTCGGATGGAGCAGTGAATGCGCTAATAGCTCACTGCTGCATGGGTTTCGTGAGCTTGGGCAGGCAGCCTCGGATGGCCAAACCAGCCTTCCGGGGTCTTGGTGAAAACTCAGGAGTCAGAAGATCTGGATGCGAACACACTTCATTCATCTCGTTCTTCAGGCTTGGGTCATGGGCCCCTTTCCCATTAGGCTTCTAGGAAAGGGCTCTGCATACTTGGCCCTTGTTTGGGGATCTACCCATGCTTTTCTTCCGATTGTCACTTTTCAAGGTAAAGAACTGGTTCTTGGATTCCGCGCACTGAGGATGTAGCTAAGAGGAGGGACTGAGTACCCGGAGATCACAAACACTCTCACAGCATACGGCATGGTGAGAAGAATCTGAGCATTTGGTGGGAAGACGGGCCCTTCCACACCCACCCCTGAGTCCCATTTCCAGGCATCTCGAGTCCTAACGTGCAAATGATGGTCTGGAGCTGGGGGCGCTGTGAGTCGAGTAGAGAAGGCATCCCTTTCCACATGAATTTCACTTCTCTCTTGTCTTACTGAGCCCTCTTTATTTTCAAAACTTCCTTTCAAATCCTGTTCACATCATCCAGAACATTCTGCGTGTGTGCAGGTCTGCAAACAGGACATAATTTGGCACTCTTGGCCTGTTTCGGGCAGGAGATTATGTCACATTCTTCCATTTACTTTCCTGCTCAGACCGGTTGGTGTTTTTTGAAAGGGCAATGCTCAGTAATCCTGAGCTCACGGTGTGTGCTCCAGAGGACAATGTCTTCTTCCTCTTTAACCTTCATGCCTCTTCCACCACCACACCTGCTCCTTTTTAGGACTGCCCGCCACGTGCCCAGCAGCAGACTTTCTTCCTATTCTTTACATGTTCCCTAACTTATGCTCCCAGCGAGCCATGGGGTAGCTGTTGCTATTTTCATCTTGTAAATGAAGAAACCAAGTCTCAGGAAGGTCGAGTAAATGTCCCAGTGGGGATTGACAGCAAGGGTGGTGTGATCCCAAAGCCCATACTTCTTCTACTATTGTGTTGGAAGAAAATTCCATGGATGTTTTCTTCCAATAACTTACTGCTTATTTTAAAATATTTTTATGAAAGGAATATTTTAGTCCTTTGAAAAAAACTGGAAAAGACTGAGAAGTGGAATGAAAGAAATAAAAATGGCTCGTAATCCTGCCTTCCAGTGATCTCTGCTGTTCACGTGTGGCTGTGTGGGGCAGATGCTAAGGACTTGGATCTGCCCTTGAACTCACCCAGCCACTGATGCCGATTTCCCATAAAGTAGAGAGAGAAAATAATGCATCTTTGATTGGTCATAATGATTAGGTGAGATGTTTTCAAAGAGCTTAACATAGTAGGGAGGCAACAGATGTTCATCATTACTATCACTCTGTCCTGAGCTTTTCAGTGTGTGGATGGACACTTTGAGCTCACGTGTGACTGTACCATATGGCTAGGTCCTGTTTGGTCAACTGCTTTTGTTTTTTTGTTAGAACAAAACATCTCTCCAGCTCACTGAGAGCTGAATATTTAGGTGGTTTCCCATTTTTTTAGCTTTTATAAATTGTTTTTCTGCTTGTGGGGTGGAAAAAGGGTATGGGGGCGGGGCCTCTAGCTGTGGCCGTAACATTTTCTTTCTTTAAAAAAAATACCTGAAGAAAAGGTAAAGTGGAAATGGTCCAATATGAACTTTATTAACTTTGAACAGTGTTAACTTTGAGTGATGAATACCTGGCAGTTGTGCTTATTTAATGAACCTTTTTAAAATGTGTAATAATTGATCAATTTAACATTTCAGAAATTGGGATGCTGAGATGAACATCCTTGTATATAGGGCTTTAGGCATTTATAGGATCATTTCCCCAGCATAAATTCTAAAAATTGGAATTTCTGGGTCAAAAGATACTCCATTAAGTCTACACAAGGGCTGTGTATCAGTTCACACACCCTCATGTCTGCACCCATGTGAACTGTGGTTATCAAAAATTTTAAATAATATTTGGAAACCGATAGAAGAATTGCCTTCTTCAAGAACCATGAAACTAAACATTTTTCTACTTGTATTTCTTTGGTGGATTCCTTTTTATATCCTTTGCCCATTTTTCTATGGTGTGTTCTTGGTTTATCTTAATGATTTGTAAGAGCCCCTTATATATTAAGGACAGCAGCCTTTGATCTAGGTTATCCACAGAAAAGAATTCTTCCCGGTTTGGACAGCCCTTATATTTTATGTTGCCCAAGCAAGGACAGTGAAGACCCTCCCATTCCAAAGGTCATGGCTCACATCCAGTCCTTTGCTTATTTTTGCCTCAGACCTCCAGTGGAAGTCGGGTCACATGGCGGAGAGTCTCACCAACATGCCCCGGCACTCCCTGTACATCATCATTGGGGCCCTCTGTGTCGCCTTCATCCTGATGCTGATCATCCTTATTGTGGGCATTTGCCGCATCAGCCGCATCGAGTACCAGGGCTCTTCCAGGCCAGCCTACGAGGAGTTCTATAACTGTCGCAGCATCGACAGTGAGTTCAGCAACGCCATCGCCTCCATCCGGCATGCCAGGTGGGCTCCGGAGGCGGGGGAGCGGGAGGGGGGGGTGCGTAAGGGAGATCCTGCTCCCACCTGTGCACTCCTGGGACCGGGGTGATGTTATGAACAGGACTTCCCACCTGCAAAGAGGATTTCATACACCAAAGCATAGGTTCAAGGCATACTGGGGACAGACAATTGAGCTGCTTTATAAGCAACCCCTTTGCGTTTGCTGCTAGCTTTCTGTTTTCATTGAAGACATTCATTCGTTTAATTTGTGTTTATCTGTGCTTTAAATAGCCGATTCTTAATCACGGTGTAGGAAACATTTCTTGATGACTGCTTTTTGGAATGTCTTTAGCTACATTCTTCAAACAGCCTGGATAGAAATAACATTTGATTTAGGGGTTTACTTAAGGAGAAACAAACAGCTATCATTCTGCTGTTAGCGTTCATATCATATAACTCGGTGTCCTTTTCTGCAGGAAAGACTCCTGGAGAGACAAGGAGTGAGTGTGGTACCACAGAGAGCGCGTGAGGCCCAACTACCCCACTACCTGAGTCTATTTCACACAGACCCGTCAAACCTCCACAAATACTGTTCCCTCAGCTGAAAAAAAGACATAGGTCTCCCTGCTTAGAGAGTTAAGGCAATCAAATTAAATTACTAATATAAAAAAACTGTGTAAGCAGATGACACCATATTTATTTCTCTCTTATCTAACACTAAAAAAAATCAGCGAACCTAACATTTTGTTGACTTTTGCAAAGGATATCTACTACCAGAACAGTAATAACAGTGTTTGTTAAAGGAAAGCTATCTCTTCTTTTAACTGCTAGAACAATCTAAAGCACACAATTCAGAAAGAATGTGCGGTAGCGAGGAGTGGGCTGAACTTGGTGTCTTAAGATTGGGGCTCACGAGACCTAGTGGATGCCTAACCTTTGCTGAGACGTGGGGTACTGGTCTTGATCAAAACACACACAGATCCAAATTCTGTCCGAATGGCGTAGAAGCTGAGAGGTTCAGAAAGTTTGCTTTCTTCGCGAGGAAGTCCCCAAACCCGAGACTCCAATCTGACTGTGACCTTGCCCCTCTAATGGAAGCAAAAGCCCAACCCTGGCCTTCAGGGAGAGGAGCCACTGGAAGGAAAGAAATTGGGAGACATGGAGAAGCTGCCCTGATGCCCAGGTGGGGCGAGGGTATCTTCTTTCTGAGAGCTGCATCCCCCTTACTTCTAGAACTATGAAGGAGAAGGGGAAGGTGCATCCCCTTCCAAGTCAGGTCCTGCACGGCTGCTCATCCTTGATCCTCCTTCCTTTCAGGGCTGAGCTTGCCAGCACAGCCTCCAGGCAGCCCTGAGACCAGTCCCTGCCTGTCTTGTTAATTTGACTCCTCCACCGGCCTGTACCTAAAGGGCCATTTTATTCCTGTCCTCAGGAATAGTAGGCCTGACTTCCCAGAATTTGAGGTCTGTAGTGAAAGGACAGTCTCTGTTAGGGCCTGGTGTAGGATGTCTTTTTTTTTTTTTTTTTTTTTTAAGATTTTATTTATTTGACAGAGAGAGACACAGCAAGAGTTTTTTTTTTTTTTTTTTTAGTGGGAGAGGGAGAAGCAGGCTTCCCGCAGAGCAGGGAGCCCGATGCGGGGCTCGATCCCAGGACCCTGGGATCATGACCTGAGCCGAAGGCAGACGCTTAACAACTGAGCCACCCAGGTGCCCCTGGTGTAGGATGTCTTGACCTGCCTGACAGGTGGCTTCATCCTAGGGCAACAGGCCTCGTAAGTGGCCCGCAGGAGTGTTTGCAGTACTCAGAAGTCACGGGATGAGAGGTAGAAGGTATAAAAAGGAGAGGAGAGGCGATATGCTGCTTTGTTGCTCAAGAACCTTCTCTCTCCATTCCCGGGTGCTGAGTTCACCAGGAAGGAGCAGATTCAGGGGTGTTATACTAGGATGTATTGGGAGACCCGAGGAGTCAGGTTCCCTCTACCCCCAGAGGGACCTCTGGCTAAGATTCTTTTGTGTTCAACAGGAGTATTTTATTTCAGCCCCAGAATGGTTTAGTAAGATAGATTCTTCTGAGCTTCCTGCTTATGTAGCCCACTTGGAAGATGTTTAACTGCGTAGTCTTGGAAGGAAAGAATAAACTTGAAAGCATTTACAAACCTGGTTCTTATTTGGTGCCAATTTTTATCAAAAATATTTACTGCAGAATTCCCGACCAAAAAGCTCCTCCATGCACCAGTAACTGCAGATAAAACCATTGAAGTTAATATAATACCTTCCGAGATATCTGGAACATTCCCTCATAAATGTTGATTCAGCTCTGACCTGTGGTTTCTACAGCATGGCTGTCTCGAGGTCCTGGCTGGGTCTCTGGCTGGTTGGCCCCTTTGCACTCCCTTTTCCCGGAAACCCTAGAAAGGCATTGAAAAAAAAAAATTAACCCTTTTGATATTACCTCCTCCCTAGTTTCCAGGAGTGACCTAGAGCTAACGCCCATTTCACAGCCTGCCTCCCAGCTGGTGACACTGGATCAGAATAACTGCAGCTCAGTAGCCACACACCGCGAGTCCCGAGTGAGTCACCTGTGACATTCACGAGTGGCCGAGGAAGGGTCTGATGATTCTGACGTCAGCACTCAGTTGATGCTGGTGCTCCCTTCTCTCTCTTGTTAAGAGTCCTGTGTTCTGTGACCGCTTTGCTGACGCTCAGGCTGGATAGAGTTTGCAAGTGACTAGTGGGAGCGAATGGGCCTTCCAGGCTCTGGAGCAAGGTCATGTCTCGGCTGCAGGTTGCTCACTGCTCCCCCAGCTCGAAGGGCCTGATCACAGAACACACACACACACACACAAAAACAGAACAGCTGTGAAAGAATCTGGTCACGTTTTCTTAAATAGCATCTCGGAGTTCTGGCTTTTCTCAAGGTCAGATCCACCTACATTCCCTGCGGTGGTGTTTTAGCTTTTGACTTTCAGGCGAGTCTGAACTAGAAGAATGCACACTCTTTGATCTGCCTTGCAGTTGGTTGCAGTAGCTTGTAGTGACATAAGATGTATGAGACTTGTCACCGGGTGTGTTGGACGCGTCAGTGACTTTAATGCCGCTGATGCCACAACTTCCATTACTGCGTCTGATTTTGTTGCTTTGGCCACACACTGTGCTAGATCCTTCGGAGGGCGGGACTATAGGCGATTCTTAGTCTTCATCGAGGGCCTGCAAAATATTTTAGACTTTACAGACCTTACATTGTCTGGGTCTCTTGTGACTATTTAGCTCTGCCTTTGTAGTGCAAAAGTAGCAAAGACACATTATGAAGGGGCTCAACTGCGTTCCAATAAAACTTTATTTAAAAACAGGCAACAGGCTGTCATCGGCTTGCAGGCTATATACATTGTTAACCCCTGGTCTCCAGTATAACTTTCTCTATTTTCCAAACTTGTTCTTTACATTTAAAACGTATCTTTGTGATAAGGGGGAAAAAAAACAAAACCAATGTGTTACGTAAAGGAACGGTCACATAAATACTCCTGCCATAACACAGCAAGCTCTTACATTGGTTTAGTGCCTGAGAGTTTAAATGGAATTCTATAGGTGTTGGCTTGTTTCTTAACACAAAGGAAATATAAAAAGCTGTTGGGATTAAACATTTAAGCAGGAATGCGTATTCATTCATTTTTTTCACTACATGTGAGCTTGCCACGGTGATAGGTGTAGGAGATTGAAGGAAAGTCTTTTTTTTTTTTATTGTGTTTAAAGATTTTATTTATTCGTGAGAGAGAGAGAGCGATTGAGCAGGGGGAGGAGCAGAGGGAGAGGGACATGCAGACTCCGTGCTGAGCACAGCCCAGCGCATGGCTCTATCTTAGGAGCCTGAGATCATGACCTGAGCTGAAACCAAGAGTTGGATGCTTAACCGACTGAGCCACCCAGGTGCCCCTCATTTTATTGTGTTTTAAAAGCCATTTTACTTCTACGTGGTGGATACTGCACTTTGGGTGGAGACCTCCGTATCTCACCTGAGGAATTTGGCTGGATAGGCTTCTCAGGAGCTAGTTAAGTCATAGGACAGGGATTCCAGCTCCAAGATAGCGCTGGGGCAGTTAGCCCTTTTAAAACCAGGTTACCTTAAAAAAAAAATAATAAAATAAAATAAAACCATGTTACCTTTGTAACCAGCATTATGCTTTTTTTTTTTTTTAAGTTTTATTTATTTATTTGACAGAGAGATAGAGAGCACAGATAGGCAGAGCGGCAGGCAGAGGGAGAAGCAGGCTCTCCACTGAGCAGAAAGTCCGATGCGGGGCTCGATCCCAGGACCCTGGGATCATGACCTGAGCTGAAGGCAGACACTTAACCGACTGAGCCACCCAGGTGCCCCACCAGCTTTATGCTTTATGACCCATTCTGGTTTGGAGTCATCTCATTAGCACTGTGCACACAGCCAGTGACTTCTCTAGATACGAAGCAAGGTTCTCGTTCTTCAGTTGATTCCATGTAAGTACAGTGACTGCGTGGCTGCTTCTGACCGGTTTCAGCCCTTGCCTCGTTATGCTCAGTGGATCCGAAACACCCATCCTCAAACCTGCCTTGTCGATATTCAGCCCCATGATGACAATTTAAGATGACAGCCCTTTGAATGATAGCTTGTTGGCAGATTGCATAACGTGGAGGCATTTAACTTCCTGGATTTTGGAGACACAGATTCTTCTTTAAACTATGAAGTCATATAAAAATAAAATGGATATTGTAAACACATATTCAACCTATTAAGTTGCTTAAATTTTTCCTCTTGGCCAACCAACTGATTAGTAGGCAATCTGTGATTTGCTGACCCTCCCATCAAAGTTCCGCCAGGAAACTATTCCACGGCACCTATGTGAGGACCTGGAGGGCTTTTCCCTGGAATTGCTTGACTTTTGAAATGAATCAGTATTATTAGTGGTGTATTGTTACCAATGAATCTAGCTGTTTTATGAGAAATAGGTTGTCAAAATATTTGTGCCTTAAAGTAGCTTCTAAAAGTTTCAGCCTTGGGAGAAAGTGTTCAGATCCAGTTGACTTTTACATTGTTGCCCTTTCCCTAGTCTCAGATGATGCAGGCCTTGCTCAGTTTAGATAAACAGACCACAGGCTGGAATCCAGCCCGCATGTAGGCAAGCACCAGTGAGACTTCACATTTTAGACATGATTTTCTCAAAAGCTTTTTCATCCCTATGGTACCATCCTTGGATTTCTTGGTGGCAGAATGCATTAACTCTTTAAGTCTGCATTTTGCCTGGTACCCATCTGGCATGGTTTGTGCCTTGGTGCCCCCGAAGACCAGTAAATCTTGAGTGAATCAGAGCAAAAGATTGATGAATGTTTAAAAACAAAAGGTCCGATGAAGAATGCATCATTTTCTCCTTTCCCGCTCCGTTCTACTTCTCCTTGCTGAATGTAAGAAGACTGCCTTTCCAAGAGAGCAGAGGGAAAAGGGGGCATGGGGGCTGGGGAGGTAGGCTGAAAGCCATGGTAAATAAGCCTTTTGAAGTCTTCAGGGCCCATCCCACCAGCCTTTTTAAAATGTAAGGTACTTTACATGTTTCTTTTTTTGAACCTTATTGAACTTGAAATGGTTAAAAAGTGTGGTCTCTCTGAGGGAGGAGGTTTTTTTGGTAAATGTGGAGGATTGTTTAAATCATATGGTACTCCAGGGACTTTAGGGAAGGTGAGGACTTCAATGGGAATAGACCACCCAGAAGTTGAATTGGCTTTATTTTAGTACTCTTTATTTTAGTACTCTTCCATCTTAAGACTGGTTTGGCAGGAAGTCCTGAAATTGGATTTTGACACCCCTGGCTTCTGGGCGTCAGTCCTGTTGCTGAGGGGATTCTTATATACACAGATCTTTTGGGACAATGGCTTGTGCTCAGAGAAAAACAAACAATGGCTTGTGTGTACGTGGGGTGTGCAGAGGAATGGGTAGATGGGGTTGAATGATGGGCGCCGAGGATTACGGACAAACATCTCCTTATCTGAAGTCCTTTTCTCTCTCTGCCCTTCTCCTCATGTTGGGACCTCAGATGACCTCTGAGCCTTCCTAACCTTCCCGTAAGTCCCCAGGAAGACTAGTGTATGTTCCAGGCACTAAAATGGTTGTAAAATAAACTTGCCTCTCCAGATGGTTAATGGGTCTCAGAAGAAAAAGACAAATAGATACATGTTGTCTTAAAACCTATTATAGGGCTGTGGGGCTGACTGCTTTGCCAGGATTTAACCTGGAAGCTTCAACATTCATTTGGACACCATGTTTCATGAAATCCTTTTTTTACCTCCTGCACTGGAGACTAACATGCATACTCATTCAGCGCTGATATCCGGATCTCTTAAATTTCTGTGCTTGCTAGAGAATATCTTTCTTAGGGTATTTTTATTGTTCCATCTGATTCTTGAATTTAAGTTAATTCTCACCACTTGCCTTTCATAGGACTTGAGATCCAGTGTTCATCTAACCGGGGTCCTCTCTCCCCTGTGGTTTCAGGTTTGGAAAGAAATCCCGGCCTGCGATGTACGACGTGACCCCCATTGCCTATGAGGACTACAGCCCCGATGACAAACCCCTGGTCACGCTGATTAAAACGAAAGATTTGTAATCTTTTTGGGGGGATTATTTTTCAAAAAGATGGGATACTACCCTCATTTAAATATTTTTAAGAAAATAAAAAGCTTAATTTTTTTGAAATGGTAGCTGCTCAAGAGTTTTCGGTAGAGTATCGAAGAACTAATTTTCTGCAGCTTTTAGTTTGGAAAAAATATTTTAAAAAAAACAAAATTTGTGAAATCCATAGACTACGTTTTAATGTACTTTCAGCTCTTTAAACTGTATGCTTCGACTAGTGTGTGCTCTTCCCATGGTAGATATCGTCATGAGACGCAGTTGGCTTTCTGTGGCTGTTACAGAGACTAAGTCCAATTGAGGAGAAGTTTCTATGTGACGTGTGAGTGCTGGCTTTCTGAGTAGTTAGAAAATACATGTAGAGTATGACCCATATAACAGTATACCCATTAACCTAAAACGAAGTCTGAGATGTTTATTTCGTGAATAAGAAACTAGTTGCATTTATTATTCCTAACCCGAATGAAATTAGCCTTTGCCTCATTCTGTGCATGGGTAAGTAACTTATTTCTGCACTGTTTCATTGAACCTTGCAGAAATGTTCTTTTGAGTTTGTTTTTGTCATTTCCATAACAGTCGTCAAGCCAGGCCTTGAAATCATGCAGCAAAAGGGCCTTGTGAGGCAAATTATGATCACATTGAATCTTTATTTCCTTTTAAAAGTCAAGGTTTTTATACTGTGAGTAAATTAAATTTACGTTGGAGTTGTTTGTTGCTAAGAGGTAGTCAATATAAGAGAGTACTAGTTCCTTCCGTAGTGAGTATTTCTCATAGTGCAACTTTATTTATATCCAGGACATGTTTGTGGCTGTATTGGATTGATATGTGCTTCTTCTGATTCTTGCTAATTTCACAGAATATTGAATAAATGTTACCAAGTCCAGGATGCGCTTGTCTCTCGTTCTTTTAAAATTATGGAAAACGTTTTGGGTTTGATATTGCTTGTCAGTCTCCCTGTTTTTCACATCTTAATGCTGCCACGGAGCCATTCCTTTTGCCCTCCTGATTTCCTAACTGCCAGGGAACCATTCCTACCTTCCTTTAAACATGAAAGATGGGGAAGAAAAATAACAAGAATTCATTCCTTTTATTTTTTATTTTTTTAAAGATTTTATTTATTTATTTTGAGAGAGAGAGAGAGTGTGCATGTGCACATGATTTTTTTGGAGGGGCAGAGGGAGAGGGAGAAGCAGACTCGCCACTGAGCAGGGAGCCTGATGCGGGGCTCCATCCCAGGATCCCGGGATCATGAGTTGAGCCGAAGGCCACCCAGGTGCCCCTTAGAATTCTCCTTTTAGCATTTACATCAGAGCCAGCCAGTGATGTGCAGGACACCTGCGGCCTCAGGAAATGTCTCATATATGCCGCTGTCCAGGGGAGGTCAAATAAAATTGCCTTAGCAAACAGCAATTTGGTCCTTAGGAACTTGAAAGCAGCTTGCAGCCAGCCACCCTATGTTCAATTCTATTTTGCATCCAAATGCTGCACCAAAGTCCAAGTCTTTTTTTTTTTTAATTCGTTTTATCTACACACGGGAACATTTGGTAAGGCCAGGGAGAAGGCCCTGAAACCAGGTGCCAGGGAGGGTTTCAGGCAAAAAGAAGGATTCAAGATGGGTTCCTTTCCCTCTCTTCCCTCAAACATCTGTCCCCAATCCTACAAACGACATAGCAACACACCCACACTGTTGATTATTAAATGATATGTTAATATTTTTCGTTTGTATAAGCTCCTGGAAACGAATTTAGAACAAAATATGAACATGGTTGGTTGAACATCCGTGGGAACATCACAGACCTTGCCTATTTCCATCTCCTTGTGGGAGACGGTTGGTGACACGGCACATGGACCCCTCCATCCACAGAAGAGGGGCCTAGGAACCTGGGTGGGAGTTCAATTCATTTTCCTCTTGACTCCCCTCCTCCACGCCCGAGGGCAATGTCCGGGCTGCTCTCTCTTCCTCTAGAAGCTGCTCCATCCCATCCTCTCAACCCTCCAAATTCTGAAATGCGTTGTGATGCCCCTTGAAGGACTTGCTTGGAAATCTTGTGTCAATCTCGATTGTAATTTGTAAGACGTCCCACTGAGCATTCGCTCTGCGTCAGGCAGCTGGTGACGAAAGGAACCGCAGGAAAGGGACCCCGGCTCGCAAGGTCACAGCTTCTTGGCAACCAGCACCTCAACTAATCACCAAACAAATAATGGTAGACCCCCCCTACTTTTGAGAGCCCGGTGAAGGTGAAGGAAAGGTAAACTCTGGGCTTTGTTATTTGGAAAATGGGGACAAGGACAGTGCCCCCTGGAGGATCATCGGGAGCATTACGTTTCAGAATGTGTGTAAATCACTCAGCTCACCTCCAGCACACATTAATCATTCAGCAAGGTAGCTCTTGCTTTTGCTGCTGTGCTTACATTAGCTAGAGACCGTGTCCAAAGTCGTCAGTCGGCTTGCTCTGATGGCTGTGATCTGTAGTCAGTGCATCGCGGATGGTGGAGACCTCCGAAAGCATGGCGCCCTTTCTCTGAGTGTGCACCACACTCCCCCGTTTTAAGTTTTTGCTTGGCCCAATTTGTGAAAACAGCATTTGATGAGCCAGAGTACTTCACTTGTTGAACTGGTGATAGTCTCACACCACAGTGGAGTTGGAATTAGCTCTTTTCTAACACGGGTTTTCACAAGACGAGACAACTGTACGTCACAACAGGGACCCCCGCCATCAGAAGTGTTCCAGCTCGTTCTGTAGTTTTTACACAGTTCTTAATTCTTGCAAGGAAATGGCACGCACAGAGAAATTTTTTCCAGTTGATTGTAACAGTTGAGAGCTGGTTTCATGGACGTATGTACCAAACACAGTCCATCTCTGCTCAACACATGTTGGCACCTGCTGGCCCTGGATCACCAATTCTGACCATACTTATTAGAACAGGGACCTACTTTTAATCTCTTGAGGAAACTCCATACTGTTTTCCATAGTGGCACCAGTGGGAATGTGCTAAGATGATCTGATTCAACCTGTTGCTGGCCCATTTTGCCCTACCCGCCCCCCACCAGTGGTCTCTGCGGGGATGGAGGAAAGATAAGAGTTCCACAGAGGACAATTTGAAAAACACTGGACCGGCTAATCCATCCCTAAGACTCTTCATTCCCCTATCAATCCACCCATCTGTCCAACAGGTGTTAATGGAGCACTTAGCGTGTATGAGGCCTTTGCTGGGAAGTTTCTTTGATGTGTAACATCTAAGTTAGGACTTGAAGGATGGGTAGGAATTACCCAGGTGAAGGGAGAGGAAGGTAATGTGGAGCCTTAAAGAGTGAGAGTAGGCACTTCTGAGGAACTCAAAAAAAAAAAATGAGTCAGGCTGGATCATCGAGTGCAAGGTCAAGATGAGAATGCCCCACTCTATGACCCAGCAAGTTCTCTCCAGGGTAAATATCCAAGAGCAACCAAAACATGGGTTAAAAAAAGTCTTCTACAGGAATGTTTATAACAACTTTTCCATGATAGTCTCCAGTATACTAGAAAACCATTAAAAAAATAAAACAGAAAGAGGTACTGAAATACGCAGCAACACGTCTGAATTTTGCAGGCGTAGGTGTTGAGCCAAAAAAGTCAGACACAGCAGAGGACATAATGCATGATTTCCATTTATGTGAGATTCCAGATTGGGCACAACCAATTCACTGTGCTAGAAATCCAAACATTTGTTGCCTGTGGGTGCAGAGAGCAGTGGAACGACTGGAAAGGGCCCAGAAGGACTTTCCTGGGATATGGAAATAGTCTGTATCTTGATGTGAATGATAGTAACAAGAGAGTCTACTTTTGTCAAAAGTCATCAGACTATACACTGAAGATCTGTGCGTTTTATGGTATATAAATTTTCAAAAATCAATGAAGTTTTAAAAACTAAGATTTAAAAAAAACGTGCAAGGGGCGCCTGGGTGGCTCAGTTGGTTAAAAAAAACGTGCAAGAGGGGGAGTGGGTAGATGGAAGATGGAGAGGTGGGTAAGGATCAGAAGACTTCTGGGGTCAGGGGCAGACTTCCGTTGTGCTAGGATAGGGAGGAAGTGGAGGTCATGTGTTGGTGGCGGAGGATGGCCATGCTGCAGGGGTGCAAGGAGATAGGAAATTCGGTTAGTGCATTAGAAACCTCAGCTTCTGGATTGAATCAGCGGCTCCATGAGTTTGTAACGTAGGTTTTGCTAGGATGAATTTTTATGTTAGTTATTAAAATTTTCTAATCCACAGATTAAAATTTAACCCACAAACACATTCCCAGTCTGCTGTTTGGCAGTAGAAAAGGACAGACACCCGATTGTCATCTTTCTGGTGGCTTATTAGAAAATTTCCAAATTGTTCAAGAGGATGTTCACAAAATTGAAATGCTCTTATTATTAGACTAGTCCATGTGGAAAATATTCCATGGATAAATTATTTTTTAATAAGGCAATTTCCTATTTACCCAAGTCAAAATACCCCTTAACAATTTAAAATTCTTATATTGTGGTTTCCTTATACTTGAGTCAAGCAACTCTCGCAGTCTTTCAGAAATGTGACTTCCATGGAGATGCATGCAAATCGCAGTGAGATGCACGAAACTCCCTCAGGGACATATGGGTGTAATAAACATACAAAGTGGTCCTTGGATCAAGCTGAGTTTTAGGCAGATCTACTCCAACAGACACACACACACACACACACACACACACACACACACACACAGACAGACATTCTATGGAGGAACACACACACACACACACACACACACACACACACACACACAAGGCCCAGGAGGAGTGGTAGATGACTTTCCCAAGGTCAGTGGGACACCAGTGCTATTAAGAAACAGAAGATAGGTTCATGGAGCTGGAAGGATGAGCAGCACAGTTCCCGGCACATTGCACACAATAAATAGTAACTCATTATTCTTCCTAACGGGCTCTTGTCTGCATTGGCCATCCCGAGGTCCACTGTGTGCACAGAAGACTGGGGAGTAGGATGTAGAGAAATCAGGAACTGATTTCAGGGGAAATTACTTCATGTAACTTTGCTCATTGGCCACATGAACACTTTACTACAACTCAATTTCCAGAAGACTCACGAGTGCTTCAGCTGTGAACTCAGGGGATGAAGAGTAGAAAGCTTTCAGGACAGATACCATTCATGTGGCGAGGCTTCCTTCCCTCAAACCAGGCAGCTAGGGACATGACTCATGTGCTTTGTTCTTTATATGAATTTTAAGGTGTATTACAAGTAGACTACCCTTAATTCTCAAATCGTCTCACATGCTAGTGATGAGAACTACTTGTGAAACTGAATAAGAACTGTAATTCAGTTTCAAACGTGGAACTGTCTAGTTTGGAGGCAGTGGGTAAGCCTGAGGCCTACGGCCGATGGTTTCTGAACAAGGCCAGCTGCTTTTCGAGTTCTGATTTTCAGGGTTCAGCAGACTCGACCTCTCGAAAGGCTACTACCACTCAGGTTCTCTCCATAAGGGGTGGGTGATCTCCATACCGTTCCTCATGGTACTTCTGAAGGCAGTCACCGCTTCATATGCACAGGATCAATTTCTGGCTACTTTCTTCCCAAGAAGACTCATTCCCAGGTTCATTGCTTCCAAGGCACCAAACAGCTTTTCCTTCAGCCTCTTCTGTTTTGTTTAGGCATTTGCTCAACTAGATTGTATGATCCTTCTGGGAGGAACTCCATCTTTTCTCCTTGTCCCGCTCATCAAAGGTAACCACTATTTGTAGAGTGGGTACCCTGGCAGACCCCTCCTGTGCCTTTCCCAGCCCATCTCATCTGGGGTGTTTGAAGAACACCAGTGAACCCTAATGCTCCCTTACCTGATTCCTTTATTTCCATTATTCCAAATGAATGTGT